CACTAAGTGTTAGCAGTTACTACGATGTGTCTGGATTGCCCAAACTCAAGCCTCACCAAGAGATAAACGTGAGCAGGGGAAGGGCGGAGACCTACCCACAACTCTCTGTCCCACACTGCGCCACGGAGTCCTCCTGGTAAGCCGCGACCCTTTGGCCATCCCTCTGCAAGGGCAAGCTTTGATTTGTCCTTGGACACCTGGCAGACTTGGCAGTGACGGGCCATCCACACCGGACAGAGTGCTCCCACCTCAGCCCCAGGGGACGGCGCCCACAGCCACACCTGCTCGCCGCTGCCTCTCCCTGTCCTCTCCAACCTCTGATGCACATCAGAATCTACCCCCCATCCCTGGGAGCCCCATCTAGGCACTTGGGCTGGGAAGGGAATGTTTCCAAAACCAGCTGAGGTTGGCAGCCCCTGTTGTGTCCGGCCTTCCGGATCCCTGCCACCTGCCGGCTCTGCCCTCTGTAACTCTCTTTCTGGGCTGATACCTCTAGCACCTGTTCCCGGAGGCTTGCTCCTGGCCCTCCAGGCTTGTCTTTATGTATTAGCTGCAGCAGAATTTTGGGGCGGGCAGATATCACCATCTTGGAGGCCATCCAAGGAGCTGGTGGCTGAAGCCCTGGGCAAAACCCCCAAGGACAGGCAGCACCATACCGGGCCTGGGCCAAGATGCCTCTGACGCAACCCACAGGCTCTTAAGGGGCCAGGGCCAGGTCCGTGCCTGGTGCTGGGTGTGCAAGAGCCTGTAACATGCACCACAAGGACAGCAGGCTCACGTTCCCCACGGCAGCTCCGGGGCCTCAGCTGGATGCAGCATCCTTGCCAGCAGATGGGGCAGCTGAAGAAAAACACCCCACAGACTACACAAATGAAGCAGACCCGACAGAAATTCCATCCCCGGCTTCCTGGGACGCGGCCACGCCAAGGTCAAGACCGGCTGTACCTGCGGGGACACTGAATCCTCGGAGGCTCACGTGGCCGCTTATCACCATCTCCCTTATAATATATTAAGGAAGAGCAAGAGAGACGGGTGCCCGGCAACGCCAGCTGGGCACATTCACCCGGGCAGGGACAGACAGGGTGGCACAGGGTACACAGGGAAAGAGATGCACCTGCACAGTGCCTGGCTCAGGTCTCAGAGGTCCCCTATTGCTGGGGCAGGTTGGGGACATATAACACTGGGGCACAGATCCGCAGCCTGCCCTGTCCAACTGTTCCCAGTACAGACGGTGCATGGGCTCTGAAATAACCACTGGGCCCCTAAATGCTGCAAGGAATGCCAAGTGCCCTTCACTCGACCCAGGAGGGCTGGGAAGGTGAGACAGTAGCCAAAGATCCTTATCACCTAGGCAGGAGAGGCCCCTGGCGGGCAGGGTCCCGGGCAGGCCACAGGTGCTGTTAGAGTCAGAATCCCTGCTCTGCCACTTCCTGGCTGGGTGACCTTGGGCAGGTGACTTCACCGAGGCTGTTTCCTCATCTCTAAAACGTGAGCCTGAGTAATCCCTGTCCCACGGGGATGTTTATAGATTCCTCCTGCACATCCATCTAGTCAAGCGCTCCATCCAGAGGAGTCACTGAGATGATGCACGTCAAGTCCTGCGCACGGGGCAAAGGCACGACCCACGTTATTGGTTCGAGATCCTGGCCCCTGGATGGTTCCAGATGCAGCCCTTGCCATCCTCTGGGCTCCTCCTGCTCAGTCCCAAGGGTGAGGGCACTCTGCGGGGCACCCTCCCCCCCCCAGCCTCACTGCTTCTCTCTGTCCCTGTGGGAAGCTGGCGAGAATTTGTCCCGTTGCCATATAAGGTCAGGCCTGGCTGGCCCGGGGTCACCTGCCATGCCACCAAGGCTCAGGGAATGTCAGCTATGTGGGGGGGAGGAGGAGGCGCGCGCAGGTCCTGCCCGCTTCAGTAGTGCCGAGAACGCCCACACGTGCTTGCACGCGCACGCACACGCACACGCACGGCAGACAGGCTGGCTTCAGGCAATTTACTCAGCCCCTCTGAGTCTTGTTTTCCGTAAAATGGGACTAGACACTCACGAGATGAGAGTGAGCATTCCATGCGATAATGCCCAGAGCACTCCTGGCACGCTGCCCAGCTCATGCCAAGGGCTCAGAAAATGATCACAAAGACTAGAGCGAAACCAAAAAAAAAAGTGCATTTCCATGCAGCCCCCCAGGACCCCCCAGGTCCACCCAAGTCTCCTTCTACTTTTGCTCCTGACCCTTATAACAACAATAGCTGAGACTGAGCTGCCCTGCTACCCCCTGGAAGCTGGCCCGGCCCTGGGGTGGGGGGAAGGCCCCAGAGGGAACTGGGGTGTTGGCCCGGAGAAGCCCCCAAGCACATGCAGCCCAGTGAGTCATGAAGCCCCATCCCCCAAGCGCTCCTCCTTCCGCAGGGCCACCGGGAAACTGCTCCATCCGGCCCCCTAGAAGCTCTGGTCCAATGGGGGCGGTAAAGCTGCACCCCAAAGAAAGGCAGTCTTTTCTGGGCTTCTGGGCTGACAACATGGTTCCCTCTAGAATCTGCCCACCCTGGGGAACTTCTGCTGTGGTCACGGTCATGGGTGAAGCGGACTCAGACCCTCAAACAGAGCGATTCCCTCAGTCTGTAAAGAGCTCCTGTCTGCTCATCTCCACTGATCGTCGCAGGGACAGAGCAGGGATCACTGCTCCCATTTCAGGCTGGGAAGACTAAGATTCTGCCGCATGGAAGGGTGCAGCCCACGGCTTGTCTCAGACCTTGCCCCTGGGATTCCACTCCCTGCATATTCAATCACCAAACAAACCGATGACACAATCATGACAGCTCTGTGTCTTACATAGATTATCACCCTGAAAAATCACTGCAACCAAACGACCATTATCTCAAGTGGCATGCCCAAGGTCATAGAGCCATTGAGCACTCTGCCCACCCCTTCACCCCCACTCAGGACTCCACACTATGGGGGGGGGGCCTTGATCTCCTGGGGGTGAGGGAGCAGCTTAAACTTCTGGTTTGATCCTGAAGTCCCCTTCCTCTGGTTTGATCCAGCAGCCAGACAGCAGCCTGGGTTTGCATGGGGGGGCTCAGAAAAGCTTCTAGGCAGGGAAAGGACACTAGACCGCAAGCTCTGTCACAGGCTTCTATGTGGCCTTAGCCAGCTGCCTGCCCTCTCTGGGCTTTGGGGTCCCCATGGCCCCCTCTTGCTCACTTTCTCCAGTCCCAGCACTGTCCAGATCAGCCCCTGAGAGCCACTGGCCCACCTCCTTCCGAGCCAAGCCAGTCCACCTCTCAAACCACCCAGAAGCTTACTGCACCCCGCCCCCTGCCCTGGTTTGCCCCCCCACCCAGGGCAGGACTGGCACGAAAGTCCCACACATTCTCAGCAACTGTGGTTTGTCTGACCGTAGAGCCCTCTCCCCCATTCCTGCTGGCTGTGGGTGGATTCAGCCAGCTTGGAACCCGCCCTGTTGAGTGGCCCAGGGGGCTGTATGAGGTCAGGGTTTCAGGCTTCTGTCCAGGGGGCAAGAGCAGCCAAGACCAAGGGCGGGCTGGCTGCAGAGTAAACAGGGAGGGAGGCCAGCAGCCTGGACCCCTGAGAGCCCCAGCCACACGTCCAGTCTCCCTTTCAGCTGTGCTCAAGACGGCCCCAAGAGGCAGGGTGATGATGGTACAGAAGGGACTAGAGTTGACTTGGGAGGGACCCCGGGTCCCCAGAGCCCTGCTTGGGATTCCTACAGCCAGCAGGATGAAATCAGATAGGCTGCCTCCTTCCAGACACTCCAAAAAAAAAAAAAAAAAAAAAAAAAAATCAAGGAGGGAATCAAGACTGCAAGCCCAGGCGAGAAGAAATACTACAAAATAGGACAGCCGTGCCACAGCCCCCAGACCCACCTCCACGCAGCCTTGACCCGGACCCTGCTGAACCTCACCAGCTTCCCATTTGGGGACTCTAAGCTGGGTTTGGACCTTGGGTGCCCTGCAGCTGAGGGAGCCAGGAGGGGGAAATGCCCAGCCTTGTTTCAGTGGGCATCCCTATGCGGCCTGTTAGGAGGGGATCTGGGAGATGTCGACCTTAGGAAAGAATTCTCGCACGGTCCACAGAAGTCATCCCTCCTGCCAGGTACTGAACCATGCACACTACATGCCTTCCCTTGGTGAACCCTCATGGTGACCCCAACTTCGTTCTGAGACTGGGGTACCAGATGGAGGCCAGGCCTGAGTCCAGATCTCACAGAACCCCAAAGCTCGGGCTGTGCTGCCTTTGAGCTTTGGCCAATCCAGGCAGACCCTGACACTTCTCCTTATCTTCTAGAATTTATGTGGTCATTAAGCAAATGTTTACGGAGCTCCCATTGTGCCTGGCAACAGCAGATTTCTATAAAGAAATTCACGAGGTCCAACAAGAAAAGCATCAAGTGTCTCAGAGAACCTTTCCTAAAAGCTGGAGCGAGAAAGAGTTGTGGGGTGGGGTGGGGGTGGGGCCTTGCATTTTCTGTGGAGGAGGGAGCCCCGGCCTGCAGTCTGGACCCCGGGTTCTAAAGGCAGCCCCACCTGGACTTGCTGACTTGCTGGGCCGTCTCGGGGCAGCCACCGAGCCTCTCTGGGCCTCCATTCCCTCCCGCGGCTGTACTACCGGGGACTGCTCAGAGACTTCGGGGGTCCCTCCCTCCCTGGGCCCAATCTTCGCCGCTGGTCCCAGGCGGGCTTCCGGGGAGGCCCGGCCCGGCGGCATCAAAGCTCCCGGGCGAGCCCCACCTCCCCAGTCTAAGAGTAACAACTTGCAACCCGAGACGCGGGAGCGGAGGGGGTGGAGGCGGTGGAGGGGGACCCACCTGGAGTCGGAGGCTCGGCGGCAGGGGCCGAGGGAGGAACTTGGGGGAAGCCCAGAGGAAGAGGAGAAGGGGGTTGAGGTTGCGGCAGGCACAGCCTCGCAGACGGAGGTGGGACCGGAGGGGCGCTGGGATATCTGGGGGCGACTCGCAAGGCGCCGGTGGCGGCGCGCGCTTACCCGGTTGATCTCGGCCAGCCTCCTGTCCTGCCGGGCTTTGAGCAAGCCGAACGCCTTCCCTCCTGCAGGAGACAAAGAGGCGGCCCGGGAAGCGGGGGGAGTGGGGGGCTCTCCCGGGGCCGCGCGCCGCCACCCCCGCCGTCCGCCGCGCGCGCGCAGGTGGCGGGCGGGGGGCTCCGCGCCGGGGGGAGGGCGGGGCAGGGGCGCGGGACAGCGCGGGGCCGGCGGCGCCTACCTTGGAACCTGTTGCCGAGCGCGACCGACATGGTGAGCAGCGGGCTCCGGCCGGCTCGGGGCTTGGCGGCCGCGGCGAGGCACGACGAGGAGGGACAGGCGCCCGGTCCGAGCTCTGGCGGCGTGTGGCGGCGGGACGGAGGGGCGGAGGGATGGCGCGGGCGGCCGGACACACCCCTCCCGCCCTCCCCCCCACGCCCCCCCAGCCGCGGGCCCTCCCGCCCGGCCGCCGGCATCAAAGCGCCTATTATGCGGGACGCCGCGCCCGCCGCCCGCCCCTCTGCTGGAGGGCGCGGAAAATGCACGGCGCGGGGCTGCCCGGGACCTCCCCAGGCCCCTTACCCGCCCGGGGCCGCGGTGTCCTGAAAAGAAAGTGGGGACGATCTCAGGACGCACTTGGGGTGGCCTTAAGGATCAAATACGGTCCGGGCGGCAGCGAGCGAGCGCTGCACCAGCCGAAGCTGTTACGTTCCCGGGGCCCTTGGCGCCGCACGCACTTTGGAAGGCAGGCCGGCCTCCCCAACATTTACTTTCAACTCTTGAAAGAAAAATATGAAAACTTTCAGCGTTTTGTGTTTGTTTTTTTTTTTTGGAGTTGGGGAAATGCATAATGACAAAGTGCCACGAAGACATTAGTGACACTTTAAATCAGAATGATCTGTGGTTTGTTAATAAAATCTATTTCTTGAGCACTCACTCTGCATCAGGCACTTTGCTAGATCAGTACAGGATAGATTTATGTCGTTTAATTCTCAAAACTCCGTGAAATAGGACTTGGTGTCCCCATTTTACAGAAAAGAAAAGTCAGGAAGCTGAAGCCTGGGGGACAAGTCCACTGGGATGATAATAAGCCAAGCCTCCAACTCCTGGGGGGAGTGGGGCTTGGGGTGTAGGAACCAGGGACTAGTGACAGGGCGGTGATGAAGGCTCATGTCCAAACCAGGACATTTCTGAGAGTGAAGGGTGGCAGTCCTCATAATTATGCTGGCAGCCACAGGTACAAGCGGGAACTGTCCTGGGCAAACAGCACACCTGGTCACCAGTAATGCTCCCCTCCCCCACCACACACACACACACACACACACACACACACACACAGTGTGTCCCTGGGGATTGGATCTGGGAAGTCTCCTTCTCCACAGACTTGCCTTCATCTTGCCCCCAGGATCGGGACCCTGGGGCCAGCTGGTCATCTATTCTGTGGTTGTCCCTGAGGGATGAAGTGGCCAGGCTGTCCCGAGGAAGGGGGCTGGACAGAATGGAATGTCCCGAGGTGGGCCAGTGGCAGGGCCGCAGCAGTTCAAGGCCTCACGTCCCCAGCACAGTGAGCACCTGCTTCCCCTAGGTTATTCCTCGATGCCCATCCACCCCTAGGGTTTGGGTCTGGCCAAGCTGTGTGACCTTGGGCAAGGCACCCGACTTGTTTGAGGCTCAGCATGCTGAGCTGCAGAATGGAGGAAGCAGCGTCTCTCACCAAGCAGGGGCTGTTATAACTTTTATGACTTTCAGGGTGGTTTGAGCAGAGAGTAAAAGCTTGCAGGGGAGAACTAGGAATTCTTAGGAATTACAACCCTTGGTTGATGGGAGACGTTCCATCTGGAGGCCAGATTAGGGACCTGACCTAGAATGGGGCCCTCATGACATACTTCCCAGTCCAGGCTCAGATGGCCTGTTGCCCTGGTCTGTGGCGGTGGTTGGCCGCCCCACCTTCCAGGGCTCAGCTGCTGGGCTGCATTGCTCGCCAGATGCTCGACAGCTGCCGCATTCCACGCAGCACAGCCCCACCTCTGGGGCCAGAGAGTGGCTCTGCCCACACCAGGCATGACCGGGACCGCATGAGTCACGAGATGTCAAGCCTGAGGTACGTCACCATGGAATGGAGAGGAGGCCCATTCTGCCTCCCCCCACCCCCCATTGGGATGCTGAGACTGGGCTTTGCTGAGCCCCACAGCTTGAGTGGATAGGGGCTTAATGCCAAGAGCAGGCATCAGAATGGCTGTGTACACCTATCAGCACAGAAACTGGGTGTTGGGGAAGAGGGGCCTGAGGGTGTCAGACCCTATCTATCCCAGGGGTCTTCAAACAACCTTGGTCTCCTTGTCACCACCTATACCAGACACCAATCATCGAACTCCCTGTGGAGCACCAGCCTCCTGCCCCTGTCCTTCCTCTCCTACCTACCAAGTCACTCCCTGGGTCATTGGTGTCCACCATGTCATACACACACGCACACGCCCTCACTCCCCATGGCCTTGGCTTTCAGGTTGTCTGTGGAGGAGCATGCCTCTTCTCTGAATGCTCTCCCCCAGTAGATCTGGAGAGGATCCAGATAAGCTTTCAGTATATGGCCTTGTACCCAGAGACTCCTGCTATTCTGACTTGGAGGGGGGCGGCTGGCTTAAGTTGGGTCTGTCTCTCTTGAGAGAAGGTAGAATCAGGGCAATTTCAAGCTTGTCTCTGCGTTTGACTGATGACATGGGACTGGGGCGGGGGGAACGTGGGCATCTTCTTCCATCAAGCTCAGGAAGAGCAAAGAAAGCTGCTCTGCAGGGAAAAAAAAGCAGCAAACACGGAGGGAGAAGCAGAGGCAGAGGCAGAGGGAAGGGGCAGGAGAGTCCCACCCCAGGCTGTCCGGAGGCTTGGCAGTCTTTCCCACCCCAGGATTCTAGGAGACCCTCCCATGTCCTCCCGATGAACTCCCCTTTTTAATTTAAACCAACTTGAAAGGGGTTCAGACTATGTGGCCAAGAGCTTAGACTGCACACGCTCCACAATCCATCCTACCCACACGACCTGGGTTTCTGGAGTGATCAGTGCTGGCCAGGCCCCCACTCTATGAACCCTGAGCTATTGCCCACCCTCCTGCCTGGAATGTTCCCTCTGTCTCCCCACCCTTTAAGTCCTGGCCCAAAGCCCTCCTTCTCCTCCTCCTCCTCATTGGCATCCCTCCCTGAGCCTTTCTGTGCTGGGGACACTTGATTTTGAATTCACCGTGTGGGGCCTCAGTGTCTCCAGCCCAAACCAGATGTCAGCTGAGGGCCCCTCACACTCCTCTAGGCTTTGCCTGACAAATCCCCTGGAGCAGAGGGGAGAGAGCAGGTGCCTGTGGTCATTGGACCCTAGCCAAGCCCTCCAGCCAGCCCAATGAACTCTGCTTCTGCCACCTTCCTACTACTGCAGGTAGGCCAAGGCGGATCACTGAACATTCTTCCACCACTCCCCGGGTACTGGGTGTGCACACCCACATGCCAGGGTAGTGAGTCTGCACCCACAGCCAAGGCCCCTGCTGCCAACCAGCAGGAAAGGACCAAAGGCATTCCACCCAGCTAGTAAAGGGGTCCTTTATTTTCACATTTAACAGAACCGGTCCATGTTGCAGCCTGTCCCGCCCTGCCTGTGGCAAGAAAAGCCATGCAAGGGGTGGTGGGCTCCTGAAGCACGGGGCCCCGGTGCCGAGGGCCTGCTGCCGGCGGGAAGAGGGCCCCGGGGATGGGGAGGAGCTCCAGGAGGAAATGCCAGGAATCTTGGGCAGAGGCTGGTGGGGGACCTGACCACAGGGGGAACTCCCCAGCAGGACAGGCTGGAGTGGCAGCCAGGCCTCCACACCCAGCAGGGGCCTCCCCTGTGGCAGGTGGGGCCACAGGGTCTCAGAGCCAGTGTCAGTCAGTCAAAGGCCGGCTAGGGTCTTGGGGTCCCAAAGAGGAGCTCCCCCAGGACCCTAGTCCCCCTGACCCACGCCCCCTCAGGCCCTTGAGGCCCAGCTCTCTGGCTAGGCCACAGGCTGAAAGGAGCACCGGGCCCAGGGCAGGCTATTCCCAGGGTCCCGAGACCAAGCATTCCACGAAGCCAGTGATAACCGTGCAGGGGTGGGCCATCCTCCTGGCGGGCCGAGTAGGCTGCACCACAGCCCTCGAGGTCCCCGGGCCTCAGGTTCCTGAGACCCCCCCCAGATTGCTGCTGAGGATCTTGCATCTCTTGGCCTGCCTGGTCCCTCAGCTGCGCGGAGCAGGTGATGGGCGGGTGTCCCGGGATGTCCTGCAGCAGGACAGGGGGCAGTTCCGGGGCTGGGGGCTCTGGCTCTTGCTGAACCCATCCTGGATCTCTGAGGTTGGCCCCCCTCAGCCTCTCAGGCACCAGCTCTGCCTGGGTCCTCGCCTTCCGGAGCAAGAGTGAGTGTGGCCGTGCGGAGGGTATGTTAAAGCATCGGGGGGAGAGGGGTGCACAGCTGATGTGCGGTAACCGGCTGTGGACTGAGTGTACTGTGTGCACGCACGGGGGAGCCGGCATACGTGTGTGCATTATGCACACAGGCGTGTCCCCACAATGTGCGCACGTAGGTGTTATCGACACTGGGCTGCGTGTGTTTATGCATCACGGCATGGGAGCGCCTGCCCGGGTGAACTGTGCACGGACGCGGACTCTGGCGGTCCTGGACTCGGAAGGCTACGTGAGTATTCACTTGGGCTGGGTACGCAGCGCCTGCAGGACTGCACCTGTGTGGTGTGTGTTCCTGCCCCGGGCTAGGGCCATAGCGGCGGGGGGTGGGGGCGCCTGGGGGGCCTTCACTGCCAGGTGGCACAGCTCTGGGGCAGGCTATGCAGAATGGCCTCCAGGTTCTGCTTGTCAGCACGGATCTCAGCGAGGTCGTTCTCGAAGCTCTGGATCTGCAGCTCCTGCTGCTCGGACTCCTGCTGCAACAGCCTCAGTTTCCCCTGCAGGGCCCCCGGCGGGCTCAGCTGCAGCCTCAGGCGCTCCAGGGCCCACTGGGTCTCGTTCAGGGCCTGGGCTGGGGCTTGATGGGTGTCCAGCGACTCTGCAGAGGGGCACGGACAGCCTCAGCACAGGCCAGGTCCCTGGCGGGCCCCAGAGCCTGTTCGGCCCCCACCCCCGAGAGCCTTGCCGGCCCAAACCTTCCAGGATTCTGACTGCCCACGATCCACCAGGAAAGCAAGGGACAGAGAAGGCAGTGTGCCTGGTCTGGACACCCCACTGGGTTCACATGAAGACTCTGGAACTTTCCCCCTAGGCAGCAGTGGGCAACTGTTCATTTTTGTTGTGGTTATTACTGTTATTGATAAAAGGGACACCCTGTGCGGGTCCTGAGCCCATTTCCTAAAGCCGTGTGTGCACACAGGGTCCCCACGATTCCTGC